GCATAGTACGTCCCCTCCCTGGCCTGTACCCCGGCCCTGCGTCTCCCTTTTCCCCTCGGGACATGGACTTGCAAATGCTGGTCTTTCTGCCCTCAGATCTGGCTCCTGAGTTGAAAAGCTCCTCTGCCTAGTGTCTCCGGGACACACCTGGCTTTGGCCCTCTTTGGATTGCAGGGGCTTAACTGAAACCCAGGATGTTCGCCAGGGAGGATGGCATGACCTTTGTCTGAGACTCGGCCCTTTGGCCTCACTGGGGTTGAGGGACGCGGGGGCATCATATCAGGGATGTCTCAGCGGCAAGCACAAAAGAACCTCTTTCCCTTGGGAGGGGGCACTGCTCTTCATTCTTTGCACAGTAAGCATCCTGGGTTGGGCTTGAGCTCTGGCAACCTTGCATCGCCAGAGATGACCTGGTCTGTCTCAGCTCTCCCACAAAGCGGCTGTCTGCCTCTTCATACCTCCTTGTCCTGTGTCTCCACCTTCCCTCTATCATGTCAGTGTCAGTCCGTACAAGAATACTGGCTCAGGTGTTCTGCCCCCATGGACTCACTTTTAGCAAAGAAACGTGTGTAGCAAGAGCTCTCCTTCCGAGCACATTATCAAGGCCCTGGTATTGAAGTAGGGGGATCTTCTTTGTAGGGTCAGTAGTCTGAATGTGATCTCAGTGGAGGCTTTCAATGTCCTGAAGAGTTCTTGGTGGGGGGCGGGGGGATTGCCAAAAAACCCACCTTCCCAAGCAGGCAAACTGTTTGCTCTGTGTATCCCCCACTCCTTACCAAGGTGCAGGGCAGACTGGGAATCAAGGAAACTCACAAACGTGATGGAATCACCTCTCAGAGTCTCCTGATCTCCAGGCTCCTTTGTTCAAAGCCCCTGCAGGGTGTGGCTGTAGGTGAGGGGGTCGCTCATGATTAACTGGAGAAGCAGAGAGGAGATGGAGCGGACAAGGCATTGGGACATTACCCTACAGAAAATTATGTGCCTCTTCACATGCATGGGAGCCTCTGAGATGGGGCCGGAGCACCAAGCTGGTTTTGATGTGGTTCAGTTTGTGCTCTGAGAACAGAAAGTGTATCATCAAAGGGGCAGAGGGGGTTGTGCCTAAGCTGGGCAACTCTCATCTGGAGGTGACATTTTTCAAGCAAGATCCTTTGCTGTTGGAGCCTAGCGGGTGGCCGTGGGGTTTTCATCTTGGTTAATCCAAAGGGATATAATTTCAATTTAGCTCCTTGACTAGCTCCACATGCCTGTGTGTGCATGCAAGCCCACGTCAGGATGTCATACCGCGGCCTGGTGACATGAGAAAGCTTAACCTCAGTGGGAGCCATGTATCACTGCGACACAGGGTGACAAGCAGAGCCCAGGGGGCTTTGTGTCGTTGGTAGGGAAATTCCCTCCTCTCTTACTTCCATTTTCCCATGAACCTCGAACCATTTCAAATACCTGGGGAAGGAGGTTTTCTGTGCAACTTGGCGTGGTTTTCAGAGTCTCCTTTCCCTGGTACCACCATGGCCTTCACCAGCTCCCTATCCAAAGTCGTCATTGTCACCCTCTGACAGTCCCTGCTCACCAACTCCCTGTGAAGCAAAGCTGCTTTTTGCAACCACTTTGACCTTCTAGGGCCTCACGGACTTTGGGGGGAAGCTAGGGAGCGTCCCTTGAGAAGGAAGCTTAGAGTTGCTTAGAGTCCCTGCAGGTACCACGGGGAGTGGGGCGACTCTCTAGAAACCAGGGAAATGTCAAAGATCCTTCTTTGGTGGCCCAGAAGGGAACATGGTACCTTGTTCTTGCAGATACACCCCGCAGGGGCGGTGTCTCCCCACAGCCAGGTGACTTCAGGGGTACAGCATGGCTCTTCCTAGCAGAGAGGCTGTAAATGGAGCCGCAGGCCTATGAGAGGACACCTCTGTGCCACCCTGGCTTTTGCCGTGAGCATGCTCCATGGGGGTTGGGGTGCATTTGGGAAGTAGTTGCCCCATGATCAGATGGGGGAGGTGAGAGTCCCAACAGATACTCACCGGGCTGGAAGAGGCCCATCTCAGATTTTGCCCAAACCTGCTCCCTTCAGCTGCCTCCTTGCCTGTGAACTCCAACTAGGACTTTAGGACCCACTTCCCCAAGTGCCTTCATGGAAACTTACAGGGCTTCCTGGCAATGGCATCGTAACACATCCATTTGGTCGCAGAGCGAACGCCATTCTTTCTTGTACACGAGCGTGCACTTCAACATTAAGAAACCTGCAAAGGAAGCACCGGTTCTGTTTCGCGAGTCCTTATTCCAGCACAGGTATTAGAGCACTCACCCGGCGCATCGCAGCTACCAGGAGGCGGGTGTCTTCTTCTTTACCTTGTACTATCTGTCAGAGCCCTCTCTAGCCCTTTCCTGTAAGAGAGTCGATATCCATTTGTATTCAGTGCTGACAGTTACAAATCGACAGCAGTGAGCAGTTATCAAATAAATGTTGATGAAAAGCGGCTACTTAACATTCTCATCCCAACAAAAGGGGTTTGGGGGTGGGGAGCTGGGCCCTTTAGACGT